TCCTTATCTAGTAGTGTTAGCCAGTGTTGTTAAGCAGTTGATAATAAGAATCACTACATGGATGTGAGCTTCAGCTGCATCAGGAGCATTTTAATATAAAGAAAGGTTGACTAAGATGCCACATAAATCCATCCCAATATGATTGAATATGTCCCTGATGGGTGTGTCTCTCAGCTAAAAATAAACTGTGTTGGTAAAAAGGTGAATACTTATTCTATGAATGACAAAAGCTAAGTGTTTCTCCCAGTGTAACAGGAAATAATCATACAAATGGGTTTTGCTAGGCAACAGTCATGTAGACATAGAGCCAATAAACAACACCAGCTGATGCAACTCTGCAGCAAATGAATGAGCCAAACAGTAGCCAGAAACACAATTTAAATCAGTTCAGCCACAATAAACAAAACAATGCCCGATTAATATAGACTGCACTTTACTGCAATTTCACCAGAACTGTGAACCCTGGTCAAACCCGTTTAAAGATCCTTCTTATTTTGTAACCATAAATTTTGGGATTGGGAGGGGAATATATTGAACATATTTCTAGGTATTTTTCATGCTTCCTTTTGGTTTGATTTACAAAAGAACCTTTTAAAATTACCCTCCTTTTATATTTTTGTGTAAAATTTATTCTTGTACTTTTTGTATTTTTACAGCAACACTTTTAATGAAAAAAAAAGACTGGAACATGTAGGCCTATACTCCTTGTATTGAAAACAATCTCTGGTTCCACACTGGTGTTGTGTCGTTCAAAGAACGTTTCGTTCATTTGACCTAATCTTGTACATGACTCAGGAGGAACGGGTTGTCTCAGTGAGTAATTCGTTCATTTTCACGCATGCGTGAATAGTCTTGGACTCTTACGTTCACTCCTTACACAGCAGGTGCATGGTCTCCGTCAGCACAGGAAACAGTATTGATTAGTTCACGACACTTAACTGTGGTTCTCTGGGTTTGAGTCGTTCATTTTTCACATGACATCTCGTCTACTGTGGAGCAGGAATGAACTAATCGTTGAAGAGCTCACATGGGTCCGCCTCTGGGAGCAATGACCTAAACCCAACAGCAAGTCCACCATTTTAAATTTATGTACTACTCCTAGCAGGTTGGCACCGTAGACTGTATACAATTGTTGTTATTGTAATGGCTACTGGACATTTGACAGCTGATATAACATTGTCTGTGTTCAAAGGACAACACAAAAACATATTGTTGACTATTGTTACTGTCATTGGGGCGGCTGTGGCTCAGGAGATAGAGTGGTTTGCTGGTTAATTGGAAGGTCGACGATTCAATCCCCGGCTCCTCCAGGCTGCATGTCGAAGTATACTTGGGCAAGATACTGAACCCCGAATTGCCTCTGGTGGCTGTTCCACCAGTGAATGAATGTGTGTGTGAATGGTGAATGCAGATGTAGTTTAAAAGCGCTTTGAGTGGTCGAAAAGACTAGAAAGGTGCTATACAAATATGGAGCATTTACATCCCTATCAATGTGTTCCTCCCTTATTTCAAATTCTCTCAAATATGTGACATAATAGTACTCAACCAAACTGAGGCATTTAGGCATTTAGTCCAGAGATGGAGGATTTTTTGGGGACAGGGATGATTGTGTAGCGTTTGAAGCAGGAGGGAACTTCACACAGCCCCAGTGATCTGTTGAAGATCTGTGTGAAGATGGGGGCCAGCTGGTCTGCACAGATTTTCAGGCAGGATGGAGACACACTGTCGGGGCCAGGAGCCTTCCTGATCTTCTGCCTTTGGAAGAGGTGGGTCACGTCCTCTTCACAGATCTTGAGTGCAGGTGAGGGGTCAGAGGGGGGGTGGCAGTGTGTCAGAGGGGGAAGGTGACTGTTTGAAGATGGTGTTTGAGCGGGGGAGAGGTGTGACTGTGGGCTTTTCAAACCTACAAAAATCTCATCCTCAGCGTCATACGTGCATCCAGTTCATGTAGTGATTTCGACATTTCTTCTAATTTCATTGTCAGACCAGTGATTACTCTCAGCATCTAACCAGACTGCACCCCGATGGTGTCAATCCTTCTCTGATCTTCCACAGACCGGTCTGAGATGTTACGAAACAGTTCATCGTTTTGATCAGCCCTTTGATGTAAAACCTTCAGCTTTTCGTTCACCCCATTTAAGCACTCTTTAAGTTCCCCAGACAGCTTTTGGGTAAAGAGTTTATACTTTGCCAGACATGACACAAAGCGAAATAGCTTTTGGGTAAATTTACTGGCGGCTGTTGAATTCTGTCTGGAGTTTTAAACGTTCTTTGTAAAATTCAGGGGAAATTAACTTATCCTTGGGGCCTATTTTTCTGGCCACTAAACACAATCCTAGCAACTATACCAAGTGCACTAATCAATTAGAAGAGAGCGGTCATTAACAGGCGTGGCTGAGGTGGTATTTGGCTCTAGGGCTATTGAGTCAGGTGCCATTTCAGAGTAAGCAGGGTAGGCGTTCGGAAGAAGACAGTTAGAAGCTAGGCGAATATTTTCGACACCAGCTTAAACAGTCCTCAGTTATACCTAATAGGGTAATACCCATAGGCCTAGAGGATTGGACCCTTTAAGACGGAGAGCTGGTCCAGTACCTCCTGAACAGGGGTAATGGGTTCAGGGCCTACGGGTATTACCCTATTAGGTATAACTGAGGACTGTCCTTTGTGTGATGCAATTACGAGGTCATTAGTAATTTTTACCAGTGCTGTCTCTGTGCTATGATGAACTCTGATGAATCCTGACTGAAAATCCTCAAATAAACTATTGCTATGTAGAAAGTAGAAATAGAGCCAGTAGCACTATGAACAACATGATCGATTGGGGAAGTAGTAGTCCTCCGTTACTTTGTGACTTGACAATGAATTTAGAGCTGATGGTACCACATCCTTAAATTTAGCTACATCACTATCAGACAGACATCTTGTATAGAAATTTTTACCTAGTGGTGTGTAGTTCCGCAGTACAAAATCAAAAGATGTCAAATGGTGGTCAGATAAAAAGGGATTCTGTGGGAACACTGTTAAATGTTCAATTTCAATGCCATATACCAGAACAAGGTTGAGGGTGTGGTTAAAACAGTGAGTTGGTTTATGAACACTTTGAGAGATTGAATCTAATAGAGATAAACGCAGTACTAAGGCTATCATTCTCAGCGTCCACATGAATATTAAAATCCCCTACAATAATGACTTTGTCTGTTTTAAGGACTAAAGTTTTCAAAAAATTGGTTGCAGTGATTTCCAACATCTTAAATATTGTCTTTACCATGTCTGCTACAAAATGTTTTCCATTATCTGAGCTGATTTGATGGAATAGATGGAAAGGCCTCCTTACATAAAAATCTTGCCACTGTTTTACAGTCTTGATGTGCTGTAAGCCTCAACCAATCGACTAAATCTATCAGTCACAACTAAGATGGACCCCATCCTTCCCACTTGTGTTGTCATGTCTACGTAGTCTAACATAAGATGTCTAAATGGTCCATCTGGTGGAGGAAAGTAAAAGTAAGTAACAATTGCAGCTGAAAAGCCTTTTCTTACATTGCTGAAACAATGACTTTATATTCTGTATTGCTAGCGTGGGTTAGGGCAAACCGAGGGCTAGTGAGCAATGCATGCAATTGGTGGGATGTGTATGCATTGCATGAGCTTCAACTGGCAGACAGATAGACTTACATTCTCCTGAAAAATTTCTTGATAAACTCTGGAATTCAAAAGGTGTCCTCCCATGAGCTCCATTCTTGTTCAGTGATTGACGTATCATAGAGTCGTCAACAGAAATGTTAGCATGTTCCTGACACTCTAGGATCCCTCTTAACCTCAATGAGCATTCTGCGCTGTGCTCGTGCAGTGATCTTTGTGCAACGACCACTCCTAGGGAGAGTAGCAACAGTGCTCCTTTGTGAGATGTCCGAAATTAACTAAACTGAAGGGGAAATTTATAGCCCTGTAGCTCCTCCATTCTACTGTTTTCAGTACACTTCTTCTTTTATTCACAGCTTTTTCCTAAACTGTGTTGTCAAACTTACTTGGTCTGTGTTAACATAACTATGGGGCTTTAATTAAAAAATGTTTGACAATGACAATTCAATTTAATTTAAGACCCCAGGAATGGTAATGCCTGAAAAAGGTGTTACCATTTACACCCTTAAAACAATATATATTTCAAAATATATATATACTTAATAGCAACTACATAAAACAAAGGTTTATGTGTTTCAGGTTAAATGCATTTAAAAACACTGCATGAGAAATCTTTGTTGTACTGAAAAAAGTCACTTTTGTGTCCACATGTACAGTAGCACTGTAGCTCTGTGTTTCATGTGCTCTTCACGTAATCACACACCTCTGCACAACTGACAGTTTCTGGCTACATCACACATTATACTGATCTTAAAACACAATGAATAGTATCTTGTGACACAACAATGACACTCATAATCTTGGCACAGCAGGCCAGCGTAGAGACATATCTAGTTAGCTATTTAACACTTTACTTTTTAATTGTGCTTTACTCATGAATTCATTGCATACACTTGTCAAGTTCATACAAGGACACCTTCACTGAAAAAACAAAACACTGTATGGGCTCTGGATTCTATAGTGTGCATAGGCTTGCTGGCCCCATAAATACAATTCTTTGCTTGTCCTGGACTGTTTTTTGTATTATACTAAATATTCAAGTGTGCTTCTGTATTGGCCAATTTGTCATTGCTCCACCAGCAAAATATTTCCTTCCTTCATTACACCCATTTAAGTTTAACTGAATCATTGATCATATTTGTGCTTTCAGAATATATTTTTCTCCCAGACATGTTTTTTATAACAAAACTCTTTTCCATCTTGCCATGCTCAATTTCAGATGTGTTCCGTCAGTCCCTCCTCTCATCTTTGATTCCCTCCCTCCCCCTGCTCCACATAACATGAGCTCTTGGCTGTTGTGATGGTGTTGTGCAATGCTCTGTAAGTTTAATATTTAATTTCCAATGTATGTGTTCCAGCACTGGGAGGTGTTTATGGTGATAACAGAGTTTTTCATCATGGTGCCTGCACTGGTTGGATTAAAAGGAAACCTGGAGATGACCCTGGCTGCTCGCCTCTCAACTGCTGTAAGAACGGATAGGTGTTACATATTTTTAGATCCTCATACATTCAGAAATGTACAACTTTCTTCAAGGCCTAACAAAACATTAGGCTAAGCCTTGGAAGTAATTAGTACCTTTATACATAGATATAGCTATAATATAGTTATGTGGATGCTTTTAAAATTATGACAAAAATACTGAGGAAAGAGTAATGATGTTTTAGGGTGCAATGTAATCTGACGATCAAGGTCATAATCTGACAATCAAGGGGTGGTGATGGGGCAGTGGTTAAGACACATGCTTTTGGTGTGAGAGACCTGGGTTCGGATCAACTGTGAGACACCAATGTGTCCCTGAACAAGACACCTGAGCAACCCCTAGTTGCTCCAGAGGCGTGCAACCTCTGACATATACAGCAATTGTAAGTCGCTTTGGATAAAAGCGACAAAAAAGAACTACCTTATTTCATTTCATAGCTGTTGTAAAATGACATACAGTGGGGGAAATAAGTATTTGACCCCTTGCTGATTTTGCAGGTTTGCCCACTTACAAAGAATGCAACGATCTATAATTTTAATCATATGTACATTCTAACAGTGAAAGACAGAATCCCAAAGAAAATTCCAGAAAATCACATCATATGAATTTATAAAAATTGATAACCATCTGATGAGGAAAAACAAGTATTTGACCCCCTGGACAAACAGCATGTTAATATTTTGTAGAAAAGCCATTATTGGCCAGCACAGATGTCAAACGGTTTTTATAGTTGGTGACAAGGTTTGTGCACATTTCGGCAGGGATGTTGGCCCACTCCTCCCTGCAGACAGCCTCCAAATCATTCAGGTTCCGAGGTTGTCGCCTGGCAACTCGAATTTTAAGCTCCCTCCAAAGATTTTCAATTGGATTCAGGTCAGGAGACTGGCTAGGCCACTCCAGAACCTTGATGTGCTTCTTCTTCAGCCACTCTTTTGTTGCTTTGGCGGTGTGCTTAGGGTCGTTGTCGTGCTGAAACACCCATCCTCGACCCATCTTCAGCTCTCTCACTGAGGGAAGGAGATGTTGGTCCAGAATTCCACGATACATGGCCCCGTCCATCCTCCCCTCAATACGATGGAGTTGTCCCGTCCCCTTGGCTGAAAAGCACCCCCAAAGCATGATGTTGCCACCACCATGCTTGACGGTGGGGATGGTGTTCTTTGGGTTGTACTCGGTGTTCTTTGCCCTCCAAACACGACGAGTTGAGGCCAAAAAGTTCTATTTTGGTCTCATCTGACCACATCACCTTCTTCCAGGCCTCTTCTGAGTCGTCCAGGTGGTGAGTGGCGAACTTCATGCGGGCCTGTACATGTTTCTTCTTGAGCAGGGGGACCTTGCGTGCGCTGCAGGATTTCAATCCATAACGGCGTAGTGTGTTACCAACCGTTTCTTTTGTAACTGTGGTCCCAGCTGCCTTCAGTTGATTCATCATTCATCCTCACCGTTCGCATGATCAGGGACACCCCACGAGGCGAGATCTTGTGTGGAGGCCCAGACCGAGGGAGGTTGGCGGTGGTGTGGTGCTTCTTCCATTTCCTGATAACTGCACCGACAGTTGATCTTTTCTCTCCAAGTTGCTTTCCGATTCTCTTGTAGCCCATCCCAGCCTTGTGCAGATCAACAATCTTGTCCCTGATGTCCGTAGAAAGCTCTTTGGTCTTGCCCATGGTGGTGATGTTGGATGCTGGTTGTTTGGGTGTTGACAGGTGTCTTTTATACAGGTAACGAGGTGAGGCAGGTGTATTTGATGTAGATAATTGGTTGGGATTGGGGCTGTGTCTTAAAGAAAGACTAACTGGCTTGTAGGAGCCAGAATACTTGCTGTTTGGTAGGGGGTCAAATACTTGTTTTTCCTCATCAGATGGTTATCAATTTTTATAAATTCATATGATGTGATTTTCTGGAATTTTCTTTGGGATTCTGTCTTTCACTGTTAGAATGTACATATGATTAAAATTGTAGATTGTTGCATTCTTTGTAAGTGGGCAAACCTGCAAAATCAGCAAGGGGTCAAATACTTTTTTCCCCCACTGTATCCTTAGTTGGACCCTTGTATGTATCCTGCAATGTGTACTGTGTAATTAAATAGTTTAAGTGTAGTTTATTACTATGTCCCTCATAAATGCAAACTTGTTACTGCCTTATTCCCTGTACTTTATTGACACCTGTATGTACAGAACAATTACACTATAATTTGTTCACTGTAATTTAAAGTATTACCCAAACCACAGGTTGTAAAAAAATGTACCTGGTCAATTTGCAGTGGGACCTAACTGATTATCTGCTCAGCTCATAATACCTCACTTAGACCTGAATGTCTACTTGTCTGCCATTTCAGATTACGTTTTTAAACAGTGAGCTATGACATCCTGTACCAACCTGTAATTGTAACACCTAATTTGGTCAAATGTGTATTTGACATCTAATCTGACTTAAATAATAGAAAGTGCCTTTTCTTTACATTATAAAAAAATGAATGGTTTCGTCTTCATGTCTTTAGTCCAACACAGGCCAAATGGACGATCCTGGTAAACTATGGGCCATGATGTGCAGCAATCTGGCACTTATACAGGTAACATACTGTATTTATACTAATTATTTAGTAAGTATTTATTGTATACTAATATAGCTTACTGTGTTCACCAGTTTAGGCAAAAAAAAAAGAATCTGAATAACCATTGAGATACTTTGTTTAGGAACCTTTTGTACCCTGTAGTCTAATTAATTTTGTGTTTAGTGTTATACATTGTATCTCAGCTGTAGTGTCAGTGCATGGAGTATACTGCCCAAATAAGTCCTAATACCTAATAGCATCTTTATGCTATTATCACGATTGGTACCGTGTGCTCATACAAGTTTTATATCCAGTAGCAGACACTAAAGAACAGCAGGCTGAGATTTACATTATCTTACAAGAGTGAGGAAAATATTTGATTATATCTTTTCATGTGACGACAATGAAGAAATTACACAGCGTACAGTGTACAGCAGCACTATTCAATTCAGAGTTTCCCTCATCTCAAGCCTAACATAGTCAGTTTTTACTAACCTCGCTTTCTGAAACGGGCCTCATCAAACACTGACAGACAACTGGGACAATATATATAGTGACAAACACACACACACACAAGCAGGCAGGGAACAAGGACAGACAGGAAACAAGCATGAGACAAGCAATTACCAAAATGAAACCGGAACAAGCAGACACACTGACAAAAAAAATAAACATGCAGACCAAATCATGACTTTTATTATTTACTTTTATTTTAGACTTGAGGTGCTAATGAGAAATACAATGATTTTTGCATCCTTTGTGTGAGGTGTCTCATGTTTTAAACTGAATATGATTCAACACTGTGAAATCAGGTTACATGTATGTAAAAATATTGTTCAGTTTAGACAACATTCATAACTGATGTAACATTTGAACTGTATTTGTACAAAGACAAGGGGAAAGAACACTGCACACATTTTGTACTCTATGGTAATGTCCCGTCGCTTCATTTTCTGCAGGTTCAGGCGACCGTGGTGGGTTTCCTCGCAGCAATGGCAGCCATGTGTTTAGGTGCAGTTTCTAGAGGGGGGATTGAACTTGACCAGGTCGCTGTTCTCTGTGCTAGCAGCATCACCACTGCCTTTGTTGCTGCTCTTTCTTTGGGTGAGTAACCAAGGAAAGCTTTCATTGTTTGGCATCATAAGCTGAATAAAACTGAACATCTTTTACAATATTTTTTAGTTTTGGCTGAGTTTTTACATCCAAATTTCACTTTGCAAAACTTTTAACACAAAATACTATACCCCAAAATTTGTCTTCAAAATCTGACAATCTGACAAATTAAAACATCTTTCCAATTAGGTATAATCCTGAATGCCGGTTGACTGAACATTACATGAAGTACTCAAATATCACTTAATGTGTCCATTATGTGATGCTGGTGAACATGTACATGTGTATATAAGCTTTAAATTACATCATCTTTGATGCAACACATCTTTGTAAGGCTTAATGAACAGTATAAGCTGTAGTGTACTAGATATTCTCTGGATCCCAGTTTGTATTTTGTATTCCACTATATTTTTTGCTAGGAAAACAGAAACCTCTCCATATTCACCCCTGTTATTAGTCATGATGTGAAGTATGCACAAAAATACTTGATGGTAGGCCATCAACTGTGCATTATGGACGGGGATACATATTTTGGCAGACTGCATGTCCTGCCTAGTAGGACCAATAGGACGCTTTAAGGAGGGGGATTCGGAACAATTTCCAGCAACATCCAAAGGCTATCCATGCAATGGAAACACTGATTACAAGGACAAAATATTGTCTACCATGTTGCATTCAGTTTAATGAACATTTCGAGTCGAGCAGATGTAACATTCAGGCGAGCAATGTATTAAACATTAACTTGATTTTACAACTTGTAACTTGCCTCGGGTTGAAGACCCGTCTCCTGTGTTTTTTGGATGTTTAAAATTAGATGGTTGGTGTCACACCATTGTGTCTATTTCATCTTGGTACACAGGAGTTATTATATAGTTGTTAGAATGTACATTCCTACAGTCATTGGTGTACAATGTAAAGAGTATTGTTGATACAACACAACCCTGTGGAACCCTGTGTTAGTATTTGATCTTGTATAGCATCCCATTGACATTCAATTGCTGTGCCCTGCCCAGTCAGTTAAAAAAAATAATAAAACCGTTTAATCAAGATAGTATTAACATTCATGTTTTCAAGCTTCTTTAAAAGCATATGAGTTTGCACTGTATTAAAGGGTGAACTAAAATTGACAAACAAGACTCTAGCATAAGCTTCTATGTTTTCATGGTGCTTAGAAAAAGAGTGCAAGATGCAAAGGATTGGGTCAACAGTGCTGCGTTCTTGCTTATAGGCAAACTGGTACACATTTGTATATATGTAATTGTACTTGAACTAAAATCTCACCCATACGAGCCACCACATATCAGAACTCTTAGTGAAAGAAATCCTACACCACTTCCAGGTTTGGACGCAGAGGAAGGTCCAGCAAAAACACCTAAACACAATTCATTACAATCCATTCAAATAAATACACATTCTGCACAGCACATACAACCAAATTAATTATCGCCCCAAACATTAACAATAAAGAATTAGCCTGCAACTGGCACTATCAACTTACCAAAGTCAACCCCTGCCTCGCTCGGGTTCCAGCAGGCCAACAGGTTGTTTCACAGTCACAGGAGCATTGAGCAACTCAGTCCTCAGTGATTAAAGCTAAAAATGTGTTCTAATGTTTACAATGATTGGACAATGAGATTTTTAAATCCATCTTTAACCAATTAGTGATAACTCCTTCACTTATATAAAAGTTCTACTCATGGTGCATTAAAATGGTAAGCTTTTTACTATACGTGAGCTTTTTGGATTTATATCTCTGCTGCATTAATGTGTACGTTGCATTGAACTGTTCAAGCAGCTCAACAGCTCTATTAAACTACTTAATATACTGTTGAATCATGAAAGATTGTAATCTAAAAAGTAACTAGTAAGCAAAGATAATGTAGAAGAGTGGAATACAATTATAAAGTTTAATAATAAAAAGTAACAAGTAATATAAAGTAACATTAGCTCTAATTTATAAGATACATTAATTCAGTAATTGGTTACATTCCACCACTGCGAGCAAATAATAATTTTGAAGTTTCATGCATCAAATCTCAACAACATTGGTACTTTTTAGTGTTGGGAAAATTACTCAGAAACAGGGACAGTTTAAAGTAAACAGAGCCCAAAGTTCAACATTATACACACACAACACAAATAAAATGTAAAATCAATAGAATATACAGGTGAAACTTGAAAAATTAGCATATCGTGCAAAAGTTCATTTCAGTAATTCAACTTAAAGGTGAAACTAATATATTATATAGGCTCATTACATGCAAAGTGAGAGATTTCAAGCCTTTGATATAATTTCGATGATTATTGCGTACAGCTTATGAAAAACCCAAATTCAAAATCTCTCTGAAGTCAGCATCTCCATAAAGCTCATCTGCTGAAGGAAGCATAAAGTGCTCTAAAATGTCCTGGTAGACGGCTGCGCTGACTCTGGACTTAATAAAGCACAGTGGACCAACACCAGCAGATGAAATGGCTCCCCAAACCAACACAGACTGTGGAAATTTCAGACTGGACTTCAAGCATCTTAGATTGTGTGCCTCTCCATTCTTCCTCCAGACTCTGGGACCTTGGTTTCCAAATGAGATTCAAAATTTGCTCTCATCAGAAAAGAGGACTTTGGACCACTGAGAAACAGACCAGTTCTTTTTTTCTTTAGCCCAGGTAAGACGCTTCTGACGTTTGTTGTTCAGGAGCGGCTTGACAAGAGGAATACGACATTTGAAGCCCGTGTCCAGGACCCGTCTGTGTGTGGTGTCTCTTGATGCAGATTTTGAATTTGGGGTTTTCGTAAGCTAAAAGCCATAATCATCGAAATTATATCACATAAAGGCTTGAAATATCTCACTTTGCATGTAATGAGTCTATATAATATATTAGTTTCACCTTTTAAGTTAATTTTCAAAAAGTTCTTTGCAGAATTTTTGAAGGCCATCAGGTGCGAGAAAGCCCAGAGGATTGTTCACAGAACTAGCCACTGACAACATTCCAAGTCTGGTGCCTGGATTCTGCTGGATCTCCATCTTGAACTTGAACAAGTCACTCTGAAAGGACTATTGCAAGCCAAGAGCTCTCTCAAGGAGAAGTTTGTCTCTATCCAGATTCAGTTCATTCAGGTCTTTGACACTGTGTTCCTCTGGAAGAGTTTACAGTGTGGTGCAACTGTTACTGATCCATTACATCAGTGAATCCTCCTGCCTGACAGAGAGCAGTGAAATCTTTGACTATTGAGGCAGTTTCTCCTTCAGAGGCCTTATTCTTCAGACAGTGGTCCACAATGAAATAAAAAAATTGGCCTGATTATCATATATCGTTTTTATCCGAGCAAACGGGAACAACTTGGGGAGGACACAGCACCAAACAGATGGACAGTGGTGCGAAACTCAGCCACTTCCTTGGTGAGATTTCACTCTGGCAACCACAAAAAGCGCAAAAAATCTCAGTCCTCCTTTGAATCTCTGACCTGATGGAACATTGCATGTACGTTGCCAATGACTGCTACAGGTTCCTGCCTAATACCAAGCAATGTACTGGTCAAATTGGGGCATTGCAAGAGCTGCTGGTTCAAAGATGTTCCTTTGAAAGTTGCACCCCAGTCAGACACCAGCCACAAACTCCTCTTTCTTGGGTGATATACACCATGATGCAGGAGATACCACAGCTTAGCTGTCATTACCCTGTAAAGGATCATTAAGGAACCAGCCCAATACTGTTTTATAGCATATGGTCCTCCCCCATGGCTGTTTATGACCTCCCAAGGTTCCAACATCTTGGGAGCGTTAGCTTAGCCTCTAAGCTGGCATTCGGAACCTTTTCTAGATATGGCCATTTTGCCAACTCTCCTTTAGAGATGATACTGTCTGAACTTCCAGGCATTTTCTTCTAAGTGAGGCCTTCTTATATAGAAGATATTGGTCTACAAACCAAACACCTCCAAGCTAGGCAATAAATATGCTGGCACGACCCTTTCATGTTCCATGGTTTGTAGAAGAAAGTGAGTTTGTTTACCAGAACCAGGGTTTGGCTGAGTGCAGCGGCAGGAAACTATGGTGGAGGTGTGGACCCAAATGCAGACACCGGCGAGGAGGATGCAGATCAAAAAGGTTTATGAATAAAACTAAAATAGGCTTACATGAAGCACAAGGCAAGAGTCCAAACAAAATGTAACTATACTACTATACTAACTATACTTTATAATATAAAATTTAAGACTTTTTTAATACTTTAAAGACCCTGTGGGTACCCTGGAACAAGGGCACAATCAGGATAATAAATAAAGTAAAATACCAAAACCATGACAATGCCCCCCTCTCAAGGAACGTCCCCTGATGTTCCTTAAACAGAACTCACCCCACAAGAAAAAAAGTCCAGAACCGAAACACTGGGTGGAGGGAAGAGGAGGGCAAACTGAACCAGGGTGGGTGGAGGAAGGACAAGAGGAGGGCCAGATTCCAGGGGCAAAATAGAGACTCTAGAGTCCTGTCAGGAAGGGGCAGGGCATAATAGGCTGGTGGTCAGGGGCAAGGCAGCCCCTGACCACCATTCTACCATTTTTATCCAAAACTACTCGAACGGGCAGTATTCAAACAGGTCTCAGAATTCCTCTCACGGAATGACCTCCTAGATCCATATCAGTGTGGTTTTAAGAGTGCTCACTCTACTGAAACAGCTCTTTTGTCTGTGACAGAATCTGCAGTCCAATCCTCGGTTCTTCAACCACAGGATCCTGCTATCTAAATCTGTACAGTCAAGCTGGCCTCCTTCATCACACAGATCTTCAACACATCACTGGATTTGTATGAAGTTCCCTCCTGCTTTAAACGCTCCACAATCATCCCAGTCCCCAAAAAACCGTCCATCTCTGGACTAAATGACTACAGGCCTGTCGCCCTGACATCTGCAGTCATGAAGTCCTTTGAAAGACTGGTGTTGGCCCACCTAAAGGACATTACATGCCCCTTGCTGGACCCCCTGCAGTTTGCGTACAGGGCTAAAAGCTCAGTGGATGATGCTGTCAACTTGGGACTGCATTACATCCTGCAACACCTTGACTGTCCAGAGACATATGCAAGGATCCTGTTCATGGACTTCAGCTCAGCGTTCAACACCTTCATCCTGGAGATCCTAGGCACCAAACCCACCTAGCTCACTGTGCTAGCCTCCACCTGTCAGTGGATCACAAGCTTCCTGACTGACAGGAGTCAGCAGGTGAGGCTGGGGAATATCACCACCATTCTAAACAGCCCTGTGTCTGCTGTGGAATCCTTCAGGTTTCTGGGTTCCAGAAACCAACACTGGTGTAGCGCCATTCTAGTCTTTTCGACCACTAAAAGCGCTTTTACACTATATCTGCATTCACCAGTCATACACATTCATACACTGAGCCTAAGTGCTCAAACAGAAACTAACATTCACACACATTCATACACTGGCGGAACAGCCAGTAAATTTAACACATTAATCTTAGGTGTCCTGATTTTCTCCGATTATTACCCCTCTTCCCCTAGCGCCATTTTTTTAGTTACCTAGTTGTCTAAAAGAGCCCATAAAATACAAAATAGAGAACTGGAACAAGAATGATTAACTCAATGCACGGCCAACAAGCTTAACCTGGATTTGTTTGCCGCCACGGTGTTAGAGTTGGTTGTTACTTTTTCTTTACCCTCATATCCTGACACTATCGTCAGGATTTCTTCTGGGGAAAATGCGGAGCAGAAGCCATTAGTAAAAAAACACTGCCTGCACAGCCAAACACCACTTTTAAGCAAACAAGAACAAACTCCCATTAAGTTAACACCGAATCAACTAACCAACATTTTATTCACCGTTGTAGTACTGTTTAACAATGTAGGCAGTAAGTTAAATCTGAGTAGGGTTAACCCCTTGACGGCTGAATTTTTTTACAATAAAAAAATCAAAAACATTATTTGTTTTTATTTGCCTGTTGTCGCTAATATGCATCATACCTTCATCATACCTGTATTTATATCTTTTCTATATTCTATAGACAAATTAACAACTTCCACTTAATTTAACATCAGCTTGAAAGCAAATGAAAACACAATTTTTTTTTTATTGTAAAGAAATTCAGGCATCAAGGGGTTAAACAAGCAGGACCTGTAAAACATTTGAGATTCAGTGCAAAAAACTATCACATAAGAAAGGTAGAGGTCAAATCCACAGGAGGTAAATCAATTAGATGATTACATGAAACAAATTACAAGCAATACTGTTGAGTCCAGCATAAGTAACATGCACACACATAGTTAAGATGGTGAAATACAGATATCCTAAATCTGCGAAAAGATGAGATTAATCTCAAGGAAAGAGGGAAATTGTTCCAATCGCAAGTGGCCTTATAATGAAAAGTTTTACGTCCAGCAGCTGAGACATTGTTGGTACAGTAAAGACAAGATATTGCAAAACTCTAAGTGAATATGTAGAACTACAAGGAAAGAGTTTTTTCAGATATGGAAGACAATGAAAATAGGCACATTTGAAAATAAATTGAAACCAATGTAAGTCTCTTCTTGAATTTAGCTGAAGCCAATTTAGTGATTCATACATTACATAATGATGAGTTTTAAAATGACACCTCAGAACAATCAAAATAGGCACATTTGCAAATAAATTGAAACCAATGGAAGTCTCTTCTTGAATTAAACTGGAGCCAATTTAATTATTTTTTTAGTTTTAAAATGACACCTTAATGACAACTTAATGTGGTCTTTAATTCTAGTTAAAGACCACATTAAGCGGCTTAAGAACAGTGTCACTGGTATAAATGTAGATGATATCAGCGGAGTCAATAATGGCACTATCAACAGAGAGATTAACCTTTTCCTGATTTGAAACAACAGATCTATAGAGTGAACTGAGGCAGCCATATGTTTTTTTTCTGATGTAATCAATGTGAGGTTTAAAGGTAAGCTCAGGATCAATCCACAGTTCAAGGTATTTAAATGTTTCAAATTTCACCATAGAAGACCCTTCTTCATCTCAAGGAGCATTTCAGAACCAGAGCATTTTGCTTGCCTGATTTTGCTGACATATTTAGATTTTGTTGATTTGGTAATCAGTTTTAGCATTTTGTGCTTCTACTGTGTACGTTAGTGTTTCTCAACGGGGGCGGTACCGCCCCCCAGGGGGCGTTCCTAGGACGATGGGGTCGCTGGAAGCAATATTCTGGAGGGGGGGGCGCTGAGCTGCTTTTGGGGGGTGTTTGTTGGTTGGAAATTCTAAGGCGAGTTTACACTTGAGATTCACAACAATACGAGTTTAAACTTTAAACTACCTGCAAAAAACTGTGGTCTGCAACATTAAAGCCTGCCAGTTTAGTGCGACTGGACGAGACTGTGTGTTTTTTCTCCGTCAGCTACTTGTGGTGCAGCTTCGTGCTGCCTTCACGGGAACGGGAAGTTAGATTATCATCTCTAAAATTTTACCCATATGGCGTTTACTGTGTAAACTCTGGAAAATTGACGCTCTCTTGCTTGGTGGAAAAGTGTTTATTTCTCTGAGGAATACACCGCGAACGTCTTGTTATCGCAGTGGTTACACATTTACAAGAGATTATCCATTGTCGGACCCTGAAAGCAACTTCGCTGCGACACCAGCGAGTGAGGTGCACCCACCTCGCGCTGTGAGTCGCAGACAGTTTGTGCCAAAGCGGACATATACTGTAGTTTCAGTAGGCTATAAAAATGGAACGTTAAAAACTGAAGCCCTGTCTTGCTCTGTTGGGAATTGTAAGTGGCACTTTATCAGAGGTGCTGAAGTTAACCTGTGTGGAATTATTCATGAGATTTCTGTTTGATCACAGGTCTTTGTCGGTTAGTTTCGTTTTCCCATGAGCACCTCCTCGTCTCATTCAGTTCTGTGTCTGTCAGACGGTCGAGGGGATACTTCCAGCAAATCAGTAACATAATACAGTACAGGGCATGTAGTGAAATATTATGAATTCTCTTTAAATAGGCTTATGACGTTAGTCTCTCATTATGGCTTTTTTTTCTTTACATGTCAGAGAACTCAGATATGTGGGAGAGATTCTGAATGTGCAGAAAGTTTTGAACATGAGCAGATAAGTTAGTGTTTCCCAAACGTTCATTTATTTGTGGCAGCCTGCAACATTATCAACGCTGACTGCCACATATTGATCTTTGATTTTTTTTACTAGGCCTATTTAAAATCGTATTTGAGCTGCGCCACATTTACACTGTCATTCTGTGGGGAACCCTGAGTTATGATAAGTTATTAACAGATGAGCTAATAAAGTCCAGTCAATAACTGAATTAAAGCGGATTAATTTATTACTGAGATGAAAAGGGCCCACAAACACATTTAAATAGGTTACTTCTCACTAGATTATATTCTATTATAATTATATATTTTGAATTGTCACCTGCCACCTGAATTTTTAGACATTTCCACCATAAATTGGTGCAGAAAAGGCAGAAATTGGAGCAGAAATTTCCCTCAGAATGCAGGAAATGATGTGTTTAATGCTCAAAATCTTCTGGGGGAGGACCCCCATACCCCCACTTATTAAGTGCCCCATCCAAGAAAACAGTACCTGACTTCACACACAGTTTCTGGGAGGAACATTCACTTATTTGTTAAATATAATTACTTTCACATGGCTTTTTTGTTACCTTTTCCATGTTTTTAATAACAATAGTAACAATAAAAAAAATCAACAATATTCAGGGCAAATAGCAAACATCTTTTTTAATGGAGGGCATTAAGGGACCTGGATAATGGATATGGGGTCACTGGCCCAAAAAACGCTGAGAACCACTGGTGTACGTAGTTGTTTTACAATTGGGAGTCTCTACAGGGTGATTCTCCATGCCATTCTGTGTCTGACTTTATGCCTGGTTCGATCTGCTCTGTGCTGCTTGACGCGGCTAGCGGTGAAAATAGACCTGCTACCCATTCTCTGGGACGCTTCTGGGACGCTTCCGGGACGCACTGCAGCCGCATCTGATGGACACAAAAGCACTGACTATAATGGCCATGATTAGCTCCAGCAACCGCGGCGTAGCCGGAATGCGCTGTAGCTGCAGATTTTAGGGGTAAGGCTTTCCTGCAGAACTTTGAGATGGATTAGGTCAACCTGCTAGGAGAAACACATTAAAGTTTGAGACGTGTCAATTCTTGGAACCAGTAGGTGGCAATATGAGTGGATATTGGCTCTTATAAAAACATTTGAAGTATGGGACAGATTTGACCATGTCCAGTCCATTTACATGCTACTTTCTTTTTCATGGCGAAACAATTCAGTGGCACGTCTTCTAGTATCTTCTTTTCCTAGTCCAGTTGCCCTTGACTTTAAACTTCTTTGGATAACTTTGACCTGGATGACTGAGAACCTTCACAGACATTTCACTGAAAGCTTTCATCAGCATTACATTGCCTTGTGAACCTGATGAAAGCTCTCTCCAAGAATGCACTGATTGATTTTTCTATACCTTTTCACTAACCTTAGTTGATGACAGTTTAGTCTTTCTCCTTCTTTCTAGTTTTCCCTTTCAAACTAAATATTTTCTTTCCCGTTTCTGTCTGTCTTCATTCTCACTTCTTTCTGTGGTTCGTTCTTTTCGCATAGCCCTGGTGATGATGGGAGTGATCATCGGCTCCAGGAAGGTGGGGATCAACCCTGACAACGTAGCCACCCCCATAGCTGCGAGTCTAGGTGATCTGATCACCCTGTCCCTGTTGGCCGGGGTCAGCAGCACACTCTATAAATACAAAGGTAAGGAAATGTAATAACACTGGAGGTGGAGTCATCAGGTAGATGAGCTTGCTTATATCTATGCTGCTGACCACTAGATTGCCAATTGCCAATAGAATATCCTAGCTACAAATACTCACTCATGTGATTAGAATTCTACCTCTCTGGCGTTCCTACAATATGTTGTGGAAAGGACAATTTTCCTCCTCTCACTGCTTCTCAACAGTGTTGCCCCAAGGCTCGATGCTAAATGTAAATGCTCCGTATTTGTTTAGCGCCTTTCTAGTCTTTTCAACCACTCAAAGCGCTTTTACACTACATTCAATTCAATTTCAATTCAATTTTATTTATATAGCGCCAAATCACAACAACAGTTATCTCACAGCGCTTTTCATAAAAGAGCAGGTCTAGACCGTACTCTGTGATGTTATTTACAGAAGCCCAACAGTTCCCACCAAGAGCAAGCACTAGGCGACAGAGGCAAGGAAAAACTTCCTTTTAAGAGGCAGAAACCTCGAGCAGAACCATGGCTCAGGGTGGGCGGCCATCTGCCTCGACCGGTTGGGGTGAGAGAGAGAGAGAGAGAGAGAGAGAGAGAGAGAGAGAGCACAATATACACACAGAGGTACACACAGTGAAGGTAATGTTGCTATAGACTAAATGAAAAATGGTACAGATATTTATAATAGTGTTAATGGTAACCATCGTAATGTTAATGATTATAATAACAATAAGACTAGCAACAATAGTCGTTGCAGTAGAGGGTGTCAAGCAGGAACACGGGGGCAGCAGGTGACTCGCAACCACAGCTCCAGACTCCACAGCTCCAGAGCCAGAAAACCTGCAGGAAGTGATAGGAGAGAGGAGAGAGACGAGAAAGCACAAGGCTACCAGAAAGGGGAGAAGTTGTGTTAGTAACATGCAATAATGGGATAAGGTTGCATACAGAGGGAGAGAAAGTAGAGGAGAGAGGAGCTCAGTGCATCATGGGAAATACCCCGGCAGTCTAGGCCTATAGCAGCATAACTAAGGGATGGTTCAGGACTACCTGAGCCAGCCCTAACTATAAGCTTTATCAAAGAGGAAAGTCTTAAGCCTACTCTTAAATGTGGAGATGGTGTCTGCCTCCTGAACCCAAACTGGAACCTGGTTCCACAGGAGAGGAGCTTGATAGCTGAACGCTCTGGCTCCTAGTCTACTTTTGGAGACTCTAGGAACCACAAGTAACCCTGCATTCTGGGAGCGCAGTGCTCTGGTGGGGTAGTAAGGTACTATGAGCTCTTTAAGATAAGATGGTGCCTGACCATTAAGAGCTTTGTAGGTAAGAAGAATGATTTTAAATTCTATTCTGGATTTTACTGGAAGCCAATGCAAAGAAGCTAAAACAGGAGAAATGTGATCTCTTTTCCTGGTTCCTGTCAGAACACGTGCTGCAGCATTCTGAATCAGCTGAAGAGTCTTAATAGACTTTTTCGAGCAGCCTGATAATAAGGAATTGCAGTAATCCAGCCTAGAAGTAACAAATGCATGGACTAGTTTTTCTGCATCATTTTTAGACAGGATGTTCCTGATTTTCGCAATATTACGTAGGTGAAAAAAAGCGGTCCTTGAAATTTGCTTAATGTGAGACTTAAACGACATGTCCTGACATCTGCACCACACATTCATACACTGAGCCTAAGTGCTCAAACAGAAACTAACATTCAAACACATTCATACACTGGCGGAACAGCCAGTCGGGGTTCAGTATCTGGTTCAGTATCTGGCCCAAGGACACTTCTTATTGCAGAATAGTGGCCTTGGACTTTGTCATTGTAAAACGGCCACAATACTCAAATGACCTCCACTGGCTACCCGTGGCCTCCTGAATCAAATTCAAGTCACTAATGCTTGCATACAGAGTGACTACTGGGTCTACACCCATCTACCAAAACTCCGTAACACAAACTTACCTCCCTTTTCAGCCACTGCGCTTCTCCAACAAACCGCTGCCTGGCTCTCTCTAACTGCAAGAAGCTCCTGAAAACTCATCTCTTCTGAAAACACTTTCTCTTATAACACCTCCAACCCCTAACATGCACTTCCTGTGCTCTTCTTCTATCCCTTTACATTTCTCTTGTATTGATGCACTTGCACTATTTTGTTAACTCATTGCTTTTTTTCACCCCATTGATGCCATTTGTGCTATTATAAGTATTTATTGCTGCTCTTACTAGTATGTATTGTCACTTGTAGATCGCCTGCTGTATTGATGCTTTGTTGATGCTTGTATTGTTGTTCCTCAAATGTAAGTCGCTTTGGATAAATGTGTCTGCCAAATGAGTAAATGTAATGTAAATGGTACATTTCTAAGCTTTTGATGTCTAATAATTTGATTGCTTATCTGAGTTTTAGAATGTCAGTTTTTTTGAAGATTACAGTCCTTTTGGATGTCATAGTAATATTATGCCCTAACTACACCTATTTAGCAACTTGCCAGGTATTTGCTTTACTGTGTTCACCCATTGTAAATCATTGCTATGGTTTATTTCTTCACTTCCTCATTCCTGTTCCTGTCCCACAGAGATATGGTACCTGTCCCCCCTGGTGTGTTTGGTCTTCCTGGCTCTGATCCCATTGTGGGTGGTGGTGGCCCGACAGAGTCCACAGATCAGGGAGGTTCTCCGCTCCGGGTGGCAGCCTGTTATAGTAGCCATGTCCATAAGCAGGTCAAACACTTTTAGTTATTTTATTGAGTTATTAATAAATTCACAATTCTATTTAGCACATTTATAAGTGATGTGTAAAGTGAACTTCAAATTGAAATACAACAGGTACTAAAAAACACACTGAACACTATAGAAGTACAAAATGATGTAAAAAAGATTTTAGTCAAACCTAATCAATTATTTATGAAGCTGTAAGTAATTAAATATAGTCAACATTAAGTTATCTATATAGGTTACTCCAATCCATCTAGGTAGTAAGATGTTGAATGGCAACTTAAACCAGCCGTCTGGTAACTGTTAATTAAATAGCTGGACACAGGATTACCTTTTACTGGAACATTTTATTCCATTCTGAAATCAGGCTTTGAAACCCTGTCAGTGACTATTTCTGATTCCCTCTGTTTGTGATTTTCAGTTTTGGAGGTCTAATACTTGACAAGACAGTGAGTGATCCCAACTTTGAGGGCATGGCTGTCTTTACTCCTGTCATCAATGGTAAGCTGATAGGTCTTTACAAATAAATTATGCCACAAAGAGTAATCAAACTGACAGTTACATTTTTGATGTTGGCTTCTGCTGGCATGCAGCGTGCAGATAATATGTAAATCACAATATCCTTGCTCCTTCCCTCAGACATCTTCTCCTTGAGGTCATATTATGCTTTTTGGCTTTTCCCCTCTCCTTTATTGAGTTATATACTTTTGTGTGCATTTAATAGGTTTGCAAAGTGAAAAAGCCCAAAGTCCAGCCCAAAGGGAGTTCCCATCTCCCACAGAAAACACTTCTCTGAACTGTTACATAATTAATAACTCACCACTCTGAAACTCTTGCTCCAGTCTATGTTGCTAAGCTGGTAAGGAGAACATTTTAGTGATGTGCGGATCGCTCTTAAAGTATCTATCTCTGATGCCAACGTTTCCTGCTCTAGGATCGATACTCATATAATTATCTTACTGTCACCACGATGGTCTAATTATACTCCTCCTCCCCGTTCAAAGTCATGCTTGCGCTATTGAATACTGACACTTGTTGACTGTAAAAACACATCAATGCATTTCTGAACAATATAGATTTGCCAAGGTTAGATGTTGAACAGATCAGGGCTCTGGATTCTCCTGTTTCAATGGCTGAACTCCATGAAGCTCTCTTCCATATGCCGAATAATAAAGCCCCTGGGCCAGATGGTTTTCTGGCTGAATTCTGTACTTGCGCCCACATTCCATAGGTTGGTAATGCAAATTAGAGGTACTTGCATGTTGTCTCCAACAATGAACTCTGCTAATATCAGCCTGCTCCTTAAACCAGACAAAGATCCTATACTCCCGTCCAGTTATCGCCTAATATCACTTATTAATGCAGATCTTAAAATCATCTGCAAAACCCTAGCAAGAAGGTCACTCCTAGTATAATACACCCCGACCAAACAGGATTTATTAAGGGCAGGCACTCCACCAACAATACACGCAGGCTACTTAATGTAATAGACTATGCCACTATTCATAACCTGGAAACTTGTTTCTTTAGATGCAGAGAAAGTAGGTAAAGTAGAGTAAATTGGAAATTTCTATTCGCTACTTTACATAAATTTGGATTTGGAAACTCTTTCATAGATTGGATTAAAATCTTATAAAGTTCCCCAAGAGCTTCTGTCAGGACAAACGATTATACTTTTCCAAGTCTTCAGAAGGGTACCAGACAGGGTTGCCCACTCTCTCCCTCGCTATTTGCCATTTTTATAGAACTGCTAGCAGCTGCTGTCAGACAAAATAAAAATATTAAGGACACAAAATGTATACCATAGGAGAAGCCTTGATGCAGATGATGTATTACTCTTCCTCCTAAACTCACAAACGTCTGAGACAATCACACTTAAATAATAAATTCTCATCCATTTCAGACTACTCCATTAACTGGAGTAAATCCATAGTTTTACTTGTAATGTGTGATTTCCAGAGTATATCTACCAAACTGCTATATTAAATATCTGGGTGTCAATATTTCCCCCAGGCTGTCAGAACTGTCGTGGCTGAACTACATGCCTTTACTTAAATAAATAGAGGATGACCTTGGACATCATTGCCTATATCACTCATGGGAAGACTATAAAACTATAAAAATGATGGTCCTACCTAAAATCAATTACCTGTTTTCAGTGTTACCCACAAAACCCTCTGCTGTCGGGTTTAAATCACTGGACTCAAACATCTCTAAATATTGTGGAAAAATAAACCCCCATGAATCAGTTTAAAAACTGCAAAAAGCAAAAGATTGTGGTGGCCCCCTGGACCAACCATGGATGGACATAGAACAAACATTCTGTAAGGAAATTAAAATTTCCGATATGCCATTCATCAGTTCAAGCATCAAACGTCATACCTGCTTTAAAAGCATTAACATAACCACTTCCCTGGCAGCTTGGTGGGAATTTCTCAAAATATCTGGTTCTTCACCTATCCCATGCAGACTTACTCCTATCTGGAATAATCCTGACATCCTGCAAAATAAGAAAACACTTAATTCCTCACTCTGGTATGACAAAAGGATAAGACATCTAGAGCATATGGGAGACGTTGCTTGACGTGTGCTGCTCTCGCTAAACCAGTTGCATTTGTTAGATTACAGCGGCCAACTGTCCGCTAAACACTTCTTACAGTAATTTTGCCTAAGCACTCACAGTTCTTTCCATATTTTAGTGACTGCTGTTCAATCTCATAGTTGTTCAAAAGTTTTGGTAGCTGACGCTACAGTACTTTAGCTTAGCCGTTAGCGATGGCTTCTCCTTCTCCCTCTCGCTCGATGTTCAGTTACTCCTCTGCCTCCTTTAGCTGTAATGGTACGTGTAATAAGTGTAGTTTATTTTTAGACATGGAGGCGAGGCTCAGTGATTTAGAAGTCCAGCTCCGCACCTTGGTAGATCAGTCTTTAGCTACTGTAGCTAGCCAGTCCCCGGTAGTCGGTGCGGAACGGCCTGAGTTAGCCTCTGGTAGCCGTCCCACGGCATCTCCTGTGCAGCCAGGAAGGGGTGGCTGGGTGACTATCCGAAGGAAGAATAGTCGTAAGCATTCAAAGTCCACGGGGCACCATCAACCTGTTCACGTCTCTAACAGATTTTCCCCACTCAGCAACATACCCGCTGAGAAACCAACTCTGATCATTGGCAGCTCCATTTTGAGAAACGTGAAGTTAGCGAAGCCAGCGGCCATAGTTAAGTGCATCCCTGGGGCCAGAGCGGGCGACATTGAGTCTTATTTGAAACTGGTGGCTAAGGATAAATGTAAATACAGTAAGATTGTTATTCACGTCGGCGGTAATGACTCCCGGTTACGCCAATCGGAGGTCACTAAGATTAATGTTGAGTCGGTGTGTACATATGCAAAAACAATGTCGGACACCATAGTTTTCTCTGGACCCCTGCCAAATCTGACCAGTGATGACATGTATTCCTGCATGTCGTCATTCCGCCGCTGGTTGTCGAGGTGGTGTCCAGTAAACGATGGTGGTGACCACCTGCTCTGATTCAGAGAGACAGCATCCATCCCACTTTGGAAGGAGCAGCTCTCATTTCTAGAAATCTGGCCAAGTTTATTAGTGGACCAAATCCATGACAACCCAGTGTTGAGACCAGGAAGCAGAGTCGCAGTCTAACACACTTCTCTGCCCTTCTAATTAAGCAGTTACCCACCCAAAACCCTATGCAGAGTTGCAGTCTAACACACTTCTCTGCTCCTCCATTCCAGGAGTTACTTAGTGAAAATCCTGTAGTGACGGTGTCTGCCCCCGACCATCGAAATTATTTAAATCATAGGTAAACAGAAGAGGAGCTGTGCATAAAAACCTCATAAAAATTAAAACCACAAGAGCAATAGTGCAAACTAATAGGAAAATTAAATGTGGACTCTTACACATCAGATCTCTTTCTTCTAAAGGTGTACTAGTAAATGAACTAATATCAGATTATGATATTGATTTATTTTTTCTTACTGAAACTTGGCTGGGTGATGGAGAATATGTTAGCCTAAATGAATCCACCCCTCCCAGTCATATTAATACTCACATTCCTCGAGGCACAGGCCGAGGAGGTGGAGTTGCAGCTATCTTCGACTCTAGCCTACTAATCAGCTCTAAACCTAAACTAAATTATAACTCATTTGAAAGCCTTGCCTTCCTCGAGGCACAGGCCGAGGAGGTGGAGTTGCAGCTATCTTCGACTCTAGCCTACTAATCAGCTCTAAACCTAAACTAAATTATAACTCATTTGAAAGCCTTGTTCTTAGTCTTTCGCACCCAAGTTGGAAATCACTGCAACCAATTCTTTTCATTATAGTGTACCGTAAGTTATTATTGTAGGGGATTTTAATATTCATGTGGACGTTGAGAATGACAGCTTCAGTGTTTATCTCTCTGTTAGATTCCATTGGCTTCTCTCAGAGTGTTCATGAACCGACTCACTGTTTTAACCACACCCTCGACCTTGTTTTGGTATATGGTATTGAAATTGAACATTTAATAGTGTTCCCACAGAATCAATCTTTATCCGACCACTGTTATAACTTTTGAGTTTGTATTGCTGAACTACACGCCATTGGGCAAAAATTCTATACAAGATGTCTGTCTGATAGTGCTGTAGCTAAATTTAAGGATGTGATTCCATCAGCTCTAAATTCATTATCAAGTCACAAAGTAACGGAGGACTCCTATGCTAATTTCAGTCCATCCCAAATCGATCATCTTGTTGATAGTGCTGCAGGCTCGCTGCGGATGACACTCGACTCTGTAGCCCCTCTAAAAAAGAAAATAATAAAAGCTCCATGGTATAATACTGAAACTCGCAAATTATCAATCTATCTCTATCAACAGGCTATGTACCACAGTACTTTAAAGTAGCTGTAATTAAACCTCTTCTGAAAAAGCCCAAACTTGATCCAGATGTTTTAGCCAATTATAGACCTTTATCTAACCTTCCATTTCTCTCTAAGGTCCTGGAGAAAGCAGTTGCTAAACAGCTGTGTGACTTTCTACAGAGCAATAGTTTATTTGAGGATTTTCCGTCAGGATTTAGAGCTCATCATAGCACAGAGACAGCACTGGTGAAAATTACTAACAACCTCCTTATTGCATCAGACAAAGGACTTGTCTCTGTAGTGGTTTTATTAGATCTTAGTGCTGCATTTGATACAATTGACCATCAGATCCTATTGCAGAGACTGGAACATTTCATTGGCATTAAAGGAACCGTTCTAAGCTGATTTAAGTCCTATTTATCAGATCGATTTCAGTTTGTACATGTTAACGATGAGTCCTCCATGCACGCCAAAGTTAGTCATGGAGTTCCTCAAGGATCTGTCCTCGGACCAATCCTCTTCACTTTATATATGCTTCCTTTAGGCAATATTATCAGGAAATATTCCATAACCTTTCATTGTTATACAGATGATACTCAGTTATATCTATCGATCAAGCCAGATGAAACTCATCAGTTAGCTAAACTTCAAATG